CTGCAGTTCTATTGTTGTCTGCCATTTTCTTTTTTGTTTTCTGTTTTGCATTTCTCTATTTCCTTTTCCTTGCCTTCCTATGGATTATTTGAATATTTTTTAGAATTGTGTTTTGATTTACCTATAGTGTTTTGTAACTGTATCTCTTTTTGTAGTTGTTCTTTTTGTTTGTTTGTTTTGGGGGATCTTTTGTAGTGGTTGTTCTAGATAATATATTACATGTGTACAACTTAATGCACTCTACTGGTGTTGACATTTAACTAGTTAGAGTGAAGTGTAGAAACCTTAACTTTACATCTTCTAAGTTCCTTTATCTTCCCCTTTGTCTCATAATGGAATTATCTTAAATATTTCTTCCATGTACATTGAAAACAACATCAATGTATACTTTGCACTTCAAACATGAAACATAATTTGGAAAACTCAGGGGAAGAACGAAAGTTATTGTATTTACTCGTATTTTTGATCATCATGTCCTTTATTCATTCTCAATATTTCCACGTTCTTTTTTTTGGTTTCCCTTTTGTTTCCAGAACTTCCTTTAGCCATTCTTGTAGGGTAGGTGTGCTGATAACAAATTTTCTTACTTTTCTCTTGTCTGAGAATGTTTTTATTTCTCATTTATTCCTGAAAGATAATTTCGTCATATTTAGAATTCAGATTGACATTTCTTTTATCTCAGCAGTTGAAAACTATTGTGCCACTTTCTTCTGGCCCCCAAGGTTTCTGATGAAAAACCTGCTGTCATTTTAATTGTTTTCCCCCTAAATTTCGGTAAGGTGGTATTTTTTTCTTGATGATTTCAGTATATTTTGTTTTTAGTTTTTAATTTGATTATTTTATATCTTGGCACAGATTTCTTTCCGTATTTCTGTTTTAGGGTTTTACATAGCTTCTTGAATCCATAGGCTTATATCTTTTGCCAAATTTGGGATATTTTCAGACATTATTTCTTTGAATACTATTTTAGCCACATTCACTTTCTTTTCTCCTTCTGGACCTAGGATGATGCGATTGTTAGACCTTTTGTTATAGTCCCTCAGCTTCCTGAGGTTCTGTTCATTTTATTTCATTTTTTAGTCTATTTTCTGTCTGTTTTTCAGATTTGATAATTCCTGTTGTTTCATCTTGAAGTTCATTGTGTCATTCATTTGTCCTCTTGATTCTGTGGTTGAGCCCATACATTTGCTTTTCCTTTTTTTTTTTTTTTCTATTTCAGTTATTTTTCAATTCTAATATTTCCATTTGGTTCTTTTTTGTCTTCTAATTCTTGTTCTAGAACTAGAAAGCCTACCAATACATTTTTGCACCGTTACTAAAGGAAGACATCTTATTGTCTTAGTTCTGCCCTTCGAAGCTACACAAAATAAGAATATTAAGGGATAGGTATTAATAATATTTCTATTTTAAGGGAACTCTATGATTTATATTCAATATCTTATTTAATTCTTACAGTGACACTAATTTTTACTTATCCAACAAGTATTTACTTAGTGCCTATCATATATGATCCCTTTTTTTGGTCGATCAGATGTTTTTACTTTAGCTTCAAATACTTAAATAGGTTATTTCCTTTATTTACAGAAGAACTATATTTCTGCCTTTCTGATAGGTTACAAGCATAGGGACAGAAGATAGATTGTGAGCTGAATTCTCCTAACTTCACATAAACCAGTCAAGAATTTTGATTTACAGTCTCTCTACTATTTTTTTCTCTAATTCACAGATTTTCCATGCTTTATTGTGGAAAAGAATGTATTTTGAAAGATTTTCTAAGACAGAAATACTCTTAATTTTTCTAAGACACAAATACTCTTAATTTTGAAAGATTTTCTAAGACACAAATACTCTCAATTTTTTGGCTAGCCTCCCAAGCATGAGCATAAGTATCCACTGAGCTGGTCATCTCCATTTACCTTGGTGTGTTTTAATAATATTGTAATTGTTTATTTGTGGCATGAAAAAGTTTGGGAAGCACTTCTCTGGTAACAGTTTAAAGAATGGAGTTCTTTCTATAAATTGCATTTTATGTGTGTTGGATAATAGAGTTTCATCCTCTGTCATAAATAAATTTCTTAAAAGAATTGTCTCCCTTAATTCTCAAACATTAGTGAGATCATAATCACCTGGAAGACTTATTAAACTATAGATTGCTAGGCCCCACCAACAGAATTTTTAATTCATTAGGTCTAGGGTTGCACCCAAGAATCTGCATTTCTAAAATGCCCCCAGGTGATTCTGATGATGCTATTTTGTCAATTTCACTGTGAGAGCCGTTTGTCTACACACAATTTTTCTACTTCCTCACCTCCCTTTGGTTCTTCAGTTACTTTCAATCTGATTTCAATTTTCATCATTCTACTCAGAATGCTGTTTCTAACATCTTTACTGATCTTCATGGTTCCCAAATCAAATGCACAGTTTTCAGCTCATCTTAATTGATACATAGAAATCATTCAATATATTTGATTTCCCCTCCTTTTTAGGAAATTCTCTTCTCCTTGGTTTGTAGATATTCCTCTATCTCCCTCCCTCCTTCCTGTTTTTTCTCTGCCTGCTCTTTTTTTCTTGTTTTTGAAATAGAGTCTCATTTGTTGCCTGGGCTAGAGTGCAGTGGTGTCATCATAGCTCACTGCAACCTCAAACTCCTAGGCTCAAGTGATTCTCCTGCCTCAGCCTCCCGAGTAGCTGGGACTACAGGTGTGTTTTACCATACCCGGCTAATTTTTCTATTTTTTGTAGAAATGGGGTCTTGCTCTTGCTCAGACTGGTCTAAAACTCCTGGCCTCAAGCAGTCCTCCTGCCTCGGCCTCCCAGAATGCTAGGATTATAGGGGTGAGCCACTGCCAGGCCTCTGCATGCTCTGTCTCATTTTTTTTTTCTCCCTCTCAAATCAGACTCTAAATGTTAGACTTCGGTCTGGGTCCTTATTTTACCCTAAATGTGTTCCTAAATGATCTCACTCATTTTTGTCTGTATGCTATTAACAATAATTCCCAATTTATGTCTACAGATCAAAACTTCTAAGTTTTATTACAGCTTGCCTGATTGCTTTCTTATATGGCCACTTGTTTCAAATAATATATCCAAAGGCAACCACCATATTTAATAAATTCTAAGATACATATTTTTATCATTTTAGTTTCCTGAAATTTATGACTCTTACAGTCAATGGCATCTTAGATTCTATGAATAGAATAATTTGCTTTTACTACTTCCGTACCGAAAGATACTTTTTCTCCAGTCTTCTCCATCTCATAAATTGTCTTTTCTTTCATTCACTTGTTAATGCCAGAAACCTGGGAGTTAACCTTGAGTCTTCATTATTTCTTGACACTGTAATTTCTGCTTCAAAAACAGCTCTCAATTCCCTTTTTTCCTACCATGTCTATTACCATCACCTTTGTTCAAACCATAAGCACCTTTCCCAAGGATTATTACAAATGCCTCTTAACTCTTGATGTCTTCCAACTCAGTTGCAATATAGTACTTAGATTCATCTTTTAAAAATGTTAGTCAGATCACGTAACCATTTTACTTAAAATTTTTCAAGATTGAAATTCATGATCTTTAATATGGCAAAAGGAGACCTATCTAAGCTGCTCTGTGCTGCCTCACCAGTTTCATTTAGCACTGTATTCTCCCTCATTCTTTTTGGTCAGATACGCTGGTGTTCCTTTAGTTTTTTTTTATAGTAGCATGTGTTGTTACTTCTTCCCAGAAAGCTCTTTTCTCCACTTTTCATCTTTCTGTCTCCTTACTTGCCTGTTAGGTCACATCTTTGAGTTCTCATTTTAAACGTAATTACTCAGGTGTTTGTCGACCCCCAAATGTAAGTTAGGTCTTATTATACTCTCTCACAGTGTTTTGTTCTATTTTATATGACACTGAAGATTTATTGTGTTTATCCCCACTCTATTATAAGCACGTTTCATTGTTTTAACCCTTACACTAGGGATTAGCACAATACATAGTAAATGGAAGGTGTTCAGTAAAGATTTTTTTTTTTTATTTCAGCATATTATGGGGGTACAGATGTTTAGGTTCAGTAAAGATTTTTAAATAGGTGAAAGTATAAGTTGACTTAAAAAATAGATGTGCACATATAGACTGAAAAGAAGTTTGTTTTTTTTCCCAAATATAAACCAATAAGAAGCATGTAAGTTTAGGAAATGGATATACATTCTTAGTTGCCAATTACATAAATTGACGAAATTTTTAAATTTTAATAAAATGTGATTTCTGAAAAAAGTTGAAAAATTGTTTCAAAGTAATATTAAATAATTCATGATATTTAAGTAAATTTTATTTTATTTTTACTAGTAGAAATTGAATACATCTGTTTTGTCATTTTCATACAAATTTAATCTTTTGTGTAACCAGTTCTTTTTTTAACCACTCACATTTCTTAGGAGGTTTCAACTTTATAAAGAATATCATACAGCATTCTAGGAACAACATTAGTTATTTGGCTTTTTAAAATAGTGGTTATTGGCAAACCACTGTTTACTTTTTAAATGTCCCTTAATCTTTGGAGAACAAACTCATGTCTTTAGTCCAGCATGAAAGAAAAATAGAATGTTAGAGACATAGGTGATAGTCTTTTTCTTTTTCAGCATATACAATTATTTTTGTTTCTGTTCTGTTTATTATTCGCCTTTTCTCTTCTTGCAGGACTTCTGTAGCGTCTGTTTAGAGGACATAAACCTTATATTCTGCATTCTATAAATTTTACTCATTTGGAATCTTAGCTTTCTTTTGATATATATAATGAGTGCTACACACAAAGTTCTTGAAACTAGACAGGATCACACAGTTTAAAATGTTTATAATGTCTCTGTCCTTTCTTTCGCCGTCTCCTTTACTGCACTCTTTTGTCTGACTCACAGGAGACATGGATTACAACTGGTTGGATCATACGTCTTGGCATAGCAGTGAGGCATCCCCAATGTCTTTGGTGAGACATGTGGAGCCTTACTATTTAATTTTTGTTATCATTTCACTTTTCCTTTTTTATTTACACCTTTGCATGTTTTCTTTTTTGTATCTTTTTTTTTTTTTTTTTATCCCACACCTGTAGGGGACAGTCAAAAGGGAAAAAGAAAAACTAGTGAGCAGGCAGTTTTGTCGGACTCTAACACCAGGTCTGAGAGACAAAAGAAAATGACGTACTTTGGTGGCCACTCTTTGGAAGAGGATTTGGAATGGTCTGAGCCTCAGATTAAGGACTCTGGGGTAGATACGTGTAGTAGCACAACCCTTAACGAGGAGCATAGCCATAGTGATAAGGTACTGAGATTGTGGAGCCTGCCTTTTAACCTGCTCATTTGGTCTTCGTTTGCTCTCTGTCACTCATTAAAACAGAATATAATAAAAGGACAGGGCATTTCAAGGGTCAATGTAGCATTTCTTAAGGTGCAGAAAAGAAAAACAAAACAAAACAAAACAAAACAAACAAACCAAAAAACCTCTTACTTGCTTTGCTGTTTTTATTGTTGACAGCATACCAAAAAATAAGTGAATAAAAATAAAACTTAGGAACAAAGGAATATTTTATCTATGGTCGCATGAGAGAACTTTGTAATGTTACTATAAACCACAAATAATGAACAATTTTTTGGATTGGCTTATTTGATTGCTTGCATATATTTTCCTTGGGATGAAAATTAAATTATTAATAGTTTGAATCCCAGGCAAAAGGGAGATAATTGGGTCTGTTTGCACAGAAAAAGTTGTTTTTCTTTTTTCCCTTTCACTGTCATTTTGCTCTTTTGTTTTATTGTCATAGCATTTTAATGTAGTATTAATTAGTATTAGAGCCATTGCCGTCTGCTTTTATATTTATTATTTTTGCTTTTAGTATAGTGGGACTTTTGAAATCTTTTTACCATATAGATATGATTGACTGGAACTTGTCTTTTGCCTGCTAAATTTTGCATGAAGATATGCATGTTACTTTTAGATAACTGTGAAACTACTATGATTACACAAATCCTTTACTTTGCTATTTAGCATATCATCCATATGTAATGGTGTCATTATTTATAAAGGCCTTGGTTCTACCCTGAGAAAGAAAGAAACTACTAATGTTTTCAAGGTTATTTAACAATGGATAACATTGAATATCTCGTAAGGGTAATTTGCTAAATAGATCAAAGTCCTGAAAGAATCAAGAAAGAATCCCAAGAAATGAGAAATGTCGTCTATCCTCATCTTTAAATAAAGCCTATTTCTCCCATTCAGATTCAATTGGAAAGTTATTGGGGCTTGTGTACTTTTTATTGTTTTAATCTAAAAATCTGTTCAAGAAAGCCCTCATCATAGGTTTAAATTTCATGTTTTAATATGATTTGACCTTTTAATTTTAGCTGTAATATAGTCCTTCAGAATTTTTCAAAAGTGAAGAGATTTTCATTTTTAAATGAGTTCAACTACATAATTTCATTCTATTTTTTCTGCCTGTGAATTTTTAATTAATCTTCAGCTTGTAGATAATTAGGGTTTGCATATATTTTCAAGATTTCTCAGATTTTGTAGAGCTATTTAACTTCAGTATTGTGTCATAAAATTGTAAAAATTTGAGGTAATCATATTTTGAAATAAACGTAATATAGGAAACCCTTTTGACCAGTGTTTTGGAAAGAAAACTGGTTTGTGTAATCATAATGCTTTGGATTTCTGCAGTTTACAGACATCTTTTGTCATAAAATGATTGATAAAAACATTAATTTTTATGTTTATTGATGCAATATATCAGCACCCTGTGACCTGGCAGCCATCTAAAGATGGAGATCGTTTAATTGGTCGTATTTTATTAAATAAGCGTCTGAAAGATGGAAGTGTACCTCGGGATTCAGGAGCAATGCTTGGCTTGAAGGTATGTAATAAAATGTATGAGATTTTGGCTCTATGCTCCTTTACAGATTTACCAGAAAGGTAAAGGATATAATAACTCTTTCTACCTACACCAATTTAGTGGAGGTATTTTTCCATTTTCAAGATTTGCAAATATTTGTGCTCATCATCCAAAACTTTTCATTTTCCCAGTATTATTTAAGAAGTCATGATTATTTCACAATAATAATCATATATATAATTTTGGAAGATATTGAAAGTAACCTGATTAGGATCAATCTGAATCTTAAATACTGTGTTCATTTTACCTATAGAGTTTGTCCTTTAAGTCTATGCCTATGTTTATATTCTATTAAAATGATAGTTTTATACAATTACTTAATTTGCAAATGAGAAATATGTGTATTACATAGGAATATAAATTTATATTAATGTTGTAAAATGTGTGTGTATGCCTGCATGAGCCTAAGAGAGAGAATACTCTTTGAAATGTGGAAACTCAAAAATAATTATGTTAGA